GCTGCAAGTCGCGCACGGGCCGAGGAGGGGACACGGTCTGGAAGGAGGCGGGCCGCGCTCGCCTGGCTTCCTCCTCCCCTCTGCTCCTCCTAGAGGCGTGCACGGGGGTATTTGAGCGGCGGAGGACCCGGCCCCCGCCCCCGGCCCCCATTCAAGAAGCCGCTCTGCTATCCGCGCCAGCACAGGGCGCCTAGCGCCTTGGAGCGCACGTTCCGCGCCCGCTCGCTGGACATTATGCTGCCGAGCAGTGGAGCCCCAGTCCTCCTCCTCCTTCTCCTGCTCCTCCGGCTCCTCCTGCGGCCCGAGCGGCTCAGCTCTCGGCAGGCGGCAGCGTTGCTCAGCCGAGCGCAGACGGGACCCTCACCGCACGACCTCAGCGACTCCTAAAGTCAAAAGTTGGCGGCCGCGCCGGGCTCCGCGCGCTCTCCACGGCTGCTGCCTCGCGTCGCCGCCGCAGCCTAGGCGGGCAGGAGGGAGGGGGTGGGGGCAGGGGGGAGGGGTGGGGAGCACCATGCAGTTTGTATCCTGGGCCACACTGCTAACGCTACTGGTGCGGGACCTGGCCGAGATGGGGAGCCCTGACGCCGCGGCGGCCGTGCGCAAGGACAGGCTGCACCCGAGGCAAGGTAAACGAGGCTCTGGCCCCTGGGAACCCCTTTGGCCCGGTCGCTGCCTCCCTGAACTCGCTCCCRGGCGGGGGCACCCCGCAGCGGAGACCTCTCCTTTTCCTAGAAAGAATTACCTCCCGCTTTGGAACCTCTCCTTCTTTGGGTCATCCCCCAGCCAATTGTTAGGGACACACTTTAATTTAGTTCCCCCCCCCACCCTTGCTTCTAGCCTGATCTTTCACCTTCCCTAACCCACGCCTCAAATTAAAGTTACTAAGTAACTGGGGCCACCAGATAGCGCACGTTTTATTTTATTCAAGGCATTCATCAAAGATCTGAAATTATCTTATGTATCTTGACTCGTTCATTGTCTGACTTCCAGTGGTTGTATCCTCTGCGCCCAGCATTGCTCTTGACTGTTACTGTTACATAGTAGGTGCTCAGCAAATATTTGCCCAATGATAAAAGGTGAACGGGTCGAGTCAAATGGTCTAGAAAATAAGTCCGGACAAAGTCCCCATCTTCGTTTTAAAATGAAAACTTGTGGGGAAATGGACTATTGGCTCATATACCTCTGCTTCTCTCTGCAGTGAAATTATTAGAGACCCTGAGCGAATACGAAATCGCCTCTCCCATCCGAGTGAACGCTCTAGGAGAACCCTTTCCAGCGAACGTGCACTTCAAAAGAAGGCGACGGAGCATTAACTCTGCCTCTGACCCCTGGCCTGCCTTCGCCTCCTCCTCTTCCTCCTCTACCTCCTCCCAGGCGCATTACCGCCTCTCCGCCTTCGGCCAGCAGTTTCTATTTAATCTCACCGCCCATGCCGGATTTATCGCTCCACAGTTCACTGTCACCCTCCTCGGGGCGCCCGGGGTGAACCAGACCAAGTTTTATTCCGAAGAGGAAGCAGAACTCAAGCACTGTTTCTACAAAGGCCATGTCAATACCAAGCCCGAGCACGCGGCCGTCATCAGTCTCTGCTCGGGAATGGTAAGTGGGCGCGTGCCCCCTGCCCTGCCCTYCCGCCTCGTCGCCTGCTTCTTTAAGACTCAATTGCTCTCCAGGCCCGGAGACAGACGCTCCCTGCACCGAGTCTCCACTCTGGCCTTCAGTATCAGCCAGAAACTCGTCTGGGTCCCTGGGGCTGGGGGCTGCTCGCTCTGCGTGCACGTACACACCCAAGGATCGTACGCACCCGCCCCGAGAGGCTGGTGGATGTTTAGGGGGCTTTCTAGGGGCCAGAGTCGGCTCAGCTGTGCGTTGCCCAACGCTGCAAGGCGACCTGAAAGTCGGTTTCCAAACTCGGAGAAAGTTGCTGGAGTTGTGGTTTGTTGCAACCAACTTGGCTGCCCGCGAGCGGAGCAGCTGAGCGCAGGGCGGACCCGACTCCTCATTGGCGCATCCTGGGTCGGGATTGTGGATTGACAATTCCCAGCCAGGGGTACTGGGAATTCCTTCTCAGTGTTTGGGGGACTGAGGCGAGTAATCTGGATTCTCCTCCTTCTCCCGGGACCTTTTATCTAGCGCAAAGAATCCTAAAACTGAACCGGAATGACAGGGAGCAGGTCGCGTCCCAGGAACGGAAGGGCGGGCCAAAGGCTCTGAGGGCGGGGGAGAGGGCGGAGCCTGCTTCCAACTCTGCGATTTAGGGTGGAAGCCGTGAGTGGGGGTGCAGCGCAGTCCGACTCTGCACCCTGCTGGCGGGGTGGCCCAAGACGCAGGAATTGTTGGGACAGAGCTTAGAGAGACTGCCCGGACGTGATTTTGGTTCTTCTGGAACCCGTGGTGGTTCCCTGGAAGTGTAGGCAGAAGGGATCCTCGGGGCAGGTTTCCCTAGGGAGGCTGGACGGGGCTACCACCTCCCGGAGCTGCCAGATACGCACTTGGCAGGGGATCCAAGTTTGTACCTGGCCCCCCTGCTTTCCGACCCCCAACCCCCAKCCCATTACCCTCCACTAGGTCTATAGGGCATCCTCTCCCTCTTCCCACAACATCCGAGGACCCGATGTACGCTTCTGGCCCCAGCCAGAATGATCCTTGACTTTCCCAAGCGACGTGCGTTTCTGCCACGCGCGTATGACGCAGAAACTTTCCCGGGCAGGCTCGCCTAGCTCACGGCGTGGCGTCGTACGCTCCTTTGGGTATTAAACCTTGCGTCTATGATGTGTCTACTCTCACCCAGAGCACCCACACTCCCCCCACCATCTTTTCTAAGTGGGGGCTTAAGTACTCACCCAGGGCGCTCGGCAGCCCCGTGGCGCGCTKCGGTCTTGGGTCTTAAGCTCCAGATCTGGACGTCGCATCCTCCTCCTCACGAGGGAAGGCTCTCGAGGGAGGGGTAAGCCAGCTTGAAGACGGGGAGGGAGGAGGTCTAGCCTGCTGGGATGTGGGGAAGGGGCTGAACCCCTGCTCACCCCAGCTAAACGCCGGGGATCTCTGCGCCCGAAGCGCGTCGTGGAGATTGGGGGTAGGCGGAGACCGCAGTGTGGCTGGGCAGCGGGGGAGGGGTGCTGCGGTGAGTGAGTCATCGCTGCCCCGAGACCTAGGGCCTGAACGGTGGGATCCCTTGGGTCTTTAGCAGGTGATGGCTTAGGTGGRCGCGAAGTCCGGCGTCTGACCGAGCGAGCCTCAGCGCCCCGGGGTTTCAAGGTAGTACCCTCCAATCCCTGGTCCCTGCGACTCGAGCTGCGTGTGCACGTCAAGTTTGTAAACACTCCTCTCTCCTCCTCTCTCCCCGCCTCCGCCCCCCGCTGAAGCCCGGTGGCCCCAGCACTGGTTTGAATGTTTTGCTGCGCAGAACCTTCATTTCCATTGGTAGTTTTAGGTGGTAACACGTGGTCTTTGGGGGTAACTGAGAACCGAAGCCACTCCCTGGGCAATGGCCATCATATTCATATTGCGTTTGATTTGTCATCTGCCTCGTTTGGGGAAATGAGTCTGCATGGATCTTAAAGATAGGTGCTCACTGTACCTCAAGCCTTAATCTAGTTCCAGCGCCCTGCCCCTTTGTGTTCCTTCTGCAATTTTTATTTCCTCCTGAGATTTCTCCTTACCGTTTTTTTGGAGCCTTGGAATTAGGATGTTCCAGATGTTTTGTCCAGGAAGTCTTCCACTCCTTGGAGTGGGCGGGGCCACCTGCATGTCAGTTATCCGTTCCCCAGAGTTCCAGCTCAGGTGTTTTGCTTACTTCTGAACATCCCTACCTCTCTTCTATTTTCCTTCTCTCCCCCCTCCCCCGATTCCCCCTTCCCCCATCCCAGTCTCTCATTAGGACTGTTGTCTAAGACAAACTTCCACAGGCTCTTGCCTTCCAGTCTTTTCTCTAAATCCCTGCCCCCTCCCATACACACCACCATCACTTGAAAGATGACTGAGCACAAGCACTCATCACCACTCTGCCCAGGTACTTTGCGTAACCCCCCATGGTCTAGTGAACAACCATAGACTCCTTCATTGAGCAGTTAAGACCTTTTACATGACATTCCCTCACACCACAGCCATCTCACACTCAAGTTTTTCTCCTGAAATCCTATATTTCAGGCAATCTGCTTTATTCCCTCTGAATCACTTCATACAGCTTCCCATGCCCAAACACACTCTTCTTAAAGCGTCAAGTACATCCTCTTCCCAGGGAGACCTTCCCATAGCCCTGCAGACAGATAGCATCTCTCCAGTCCACTCTGCTGTCTCTCTGTTGTGATGCTTGCTGCATTCTTTCCTGCGTTGAAGTTCTCAGGTGCACAGATTCTGTTCCTTCATCCTTAGTAGCCAGGTCACCATCAATTCTTCTCTGGCATTGGCTCCTTCAATCCTGTGTGTACTCAATATGTACATTTGAAAAAGGACCCCTTAGCCAAGAAAAGGTAACTCTGGCCCAGCAGCTGTTTGTGAACCAATGGCAAAATCAGTTTTGGTGCCATACTATTATTGTCYTGGCACCACAATAAGCACTTTACTGTATGCATTGCTTTACCCAGAGCCTCCTGAGGACAGTGCTCCAAAAACCCATTTTACTGGTAAGGACACTGAGGCTTTGACCTGGAGTCTTGCCCGAGGCCTCCCAGCTGGTGAGTGGCAGTTGGGACCCACTCTGGTCTTTCTGCTCTGTGCTGTGAACCATGAGTCAGAGACTCCATCTGCGCTCTTAYGGGAACTTCAGGATTTTTTATAGAAAAGGCACCTATTTTAGTTGGAATCCTCAGTTCTCGACTTGTCCGGCTGCTTCTTCACCATTGGAGGGGAACTCTGAACAGATCACTCCCTTACTGTGCCGTGGTTTCGCCATTGACCAACYGCAGGTGGCCCAACTTCTCCAAGTGCATTCCCAGGCTTTTCTTCAGTATTCCTATCTCCGGTAGATTTCTCGTATTTGGTGGATCTACCTGATTTGTGCTCAGAGAGCCCCGAAGTTATATGTTAATTTCAGAGATAGGTCCCTGGGTGAAAGGAAATGTGTTCAAAAGCCTCCCCTGGTAACCAGCCACTCTGTCTCTCCGATGACAATAGACCTGTTTCCTCCTTAAACAAGTCCTCCTGAATCATGTGGAAAACTATCTTAAGAATACAAATTCTGGCCAGGTGCAGTGGCCCACACCTGTCATCCCAGTGGCTGGGAAGAATGAGGCAGGAGGATCGCAAGTTCAAGGCCAACCTCAGCAACTCAGTGAGACCCTGTCTCTAAATAAAATACCAAATAGGGCTGGGGATGTGGCTCAGTGGTTAAGCACCCCTGGGTTCAATTCCCAGTATCAAAAAACAGAACTTCCGGGGCAATTTTGATATTACCTGGTTTGGGGCCTGGTGCTTCTCACCTGTTATCATTTTTAAGAATACCCTGGGGGCTCATTAAAATCTGATTCCTGGGGCCCGCCCCAGAGATTCTGATGCAGTGGATCAGGTTTGGGTTGGTGTAGAATCATTTGCATTTCTAACAAGCTCTGCATGTGGCAGATGCTGGCCTTTGGGGACAGTCATTTCTYTTGTGCCAGGAAGGGCAGAAGCCTGCTTATTATTTTCTGGTGTGGGAAACAGGACTGCTGAGAAAGAGAAGAGTTTGATTTCTTCTCTTAGACACCGCCCACTGGCACGACATGGAGTATGGTTGGAGTATTGTCTGATTTGGGTGGTGGGAGCTTGAGGTATCATGGATGGTTGGCAAAACTTGTTAGGAGTAGAAAGAGTGGCCTTTCTCAAGATGCTTAGCATGGTTGGTAGGAGCCCTGGTGGATCCTGCCATACCAGAAACCACTAATGAGTTCTAAGCCCTTCTAAGGTGTCAGGCACTTTATTTGCATTCTCTCATTTAATCTGCACAATGGTCCTTGAAGGAAAGCATCTTTATCTCCACCTGACAAACAGTAAGCTCCATCTCAGTGCAGTTAAGAAACTCACTTGCCCTGTGTGGTGGCACATACCTGTAATCCCAGAAGCTCGGGAGGCTGAGGCAGGAGGATCATGAGTTCAAAGCCAGCCTCAGCAACTTAGTGAGGCCTTAAATAAAATATAAAAAAGAGCTGGGGATGTGGCTCAGTGGTTAAGCACCTCTGGGTTCAATCCCTGAAAAGAAGGTACCAAGATGGCAGAGGGTGAAAATATTCTCCACACATGCTTCAGTATTTTCACTGTAAACAGGGACTCCAATTCCTCTATGGGCAGAGCTGCCCACGAAGGAAAGGGGTTGAATAGAATGCGCATGTTTCTCCTTGGGATTGTTTATTTTGTTTTGTTTTCCCTTCCATTGGCTAAATTCTGCTAAATCAACTTCTCTCTTCATTTGCAGCTGGGCACATTTCGGTTCCACGATGGGGATTATTTTATTGAACCGCTATTGTCCGTGGACAAACAGGAYGATGAAGAGGAGCAAAACAAGCCCCACATTATTTATAGGCGCAGCCGTCCCCAGAGGGGGCCCTCTCCAGGAAGTCATACGTGTGACACCTCAGGTATTTGCTTCTCGTTTAAGCGGAGATGCCAACTCTGTGAGATGGGTTCATTAGCCAGACTTCAGGGATGTAGCTCTTTTGCAGTTTGCAAGGCAGGCTGTATCATTGTCTTTTGTTCAGTCCTCCAGTGAGGTAGGTATACCCTCGGCTCCATGTAGATATGGAAACTTCAGAGAGGTTTAGTGATGTTTCAAAGGTTGCACAGCTGAAACCTGGCAAAGTGAGGATTCAAACGCATGAAGTGGTGATTCCAATTCCTGTGTGGGCAGAGCTGCATCTTCTGTTGCAAGTTGCTAATTTTTAGGGCTCAGCTTTAGTAGTTTTTTGAAGCTGTGACAGTAATATACCCCATCAGCAATTGCTTGTATTTTCTTGGTGTGTTCTAGTGACTTTGTTTTTCTGGGCTTCTTCCTGTGTAGGGTTACAAGAATTGCCTTACAAATGGAATTTGCAAAATCTTCTGTTTTATCTGAAATTTTCCTACCAACTTCACTTTTGCTAATGTCCTGTGGTTTCAGGAAATAAAGGAGTGGGCCTGTACCCACTACTAGATCTCTTTTCATTCTGACCAGATTGTCACAGGCTGCTTACTGATCTGTWTGGCCACTATCAGGGATCTGTCATTGCAGATACCTTGGAAAGCTGATGCTGATCCCTGTTCCTCCATCAACAGTCCTACGGCAACCCACCATTGTCTCCTGAGCCTGGTTGCTTTCTACTTAATGATAGTTTATCATTAAAATCATCCCTCAAGTGGGTGGGCTCAGTGGTCCACTCCTGTAATCCCAGCAGCTCGGGAGGCTGAGGCAGGAGGATCATGAGTTCAAAGCCAGCCTCAGCAACTTAGTGAGATTCTAAGTAACATTTTTATGTTTCAAAATAAAACATAAAAAGGAGCTGGAGATGTGGCTCAGTGGTTGAGTGCCCCTGGGTTCAATCCCTGGTATAAAACAAAAAACAAAACAAAACAAAACAAAAACAAATTACATTAACAAATTAACCAGCTCTTCAGAGTCTTCATAGTATGTGCAAACAACAAAACCTTCCAGACCAACAGGGAGTTCTTCAAATGCTTCTCACATGATTGCTTGCTTCATCTTGTGTGTGGATCAGGTCATCCCCTGGTGATAGTATCTGGTGTCCTCTTCCCTCTTGGAAGTGCTATTTCTAAAGTGAACCCTTTAATTAAAGATAGCATCAACCGATGACTAAGAGGGCGGCATCCTAGGTCTTGTGGCTTCACTGTATTCAGCTCTGTGTTCTGACCTCCAAGCCTGGATGAATGTCACTGAAGTCCTCTGTCTTGCTCAAGATGAGCTGGGATTGGGTGGACATACTCATAGACAGTAGGCCCGGAGCTTGTGTAGCATCAAGACTGCCACCACCAGCCAGTTTAATGGTCAAGGCATTTGTCACTATTTATTTATTTATTTATTTGCCTATAYTGCTAAGACCATTGCCCTTCACTTTTTGACTTCCCAAATCCATATTCCAAAGTACACTTTTTTTTTGTACTGATTTTTTTATACTGATTGAATCCAGGGTGCTTAACCACTGAGCCATGTCTCCAGCCCTATTTTGTATTTTATTTAGAGACAGGGTCTCACTGAGTGGCTTAGGGCCTCACTGAGTTTCTGAGGATGGCTTTGAACTCACGATTCTCCTTCCTCAGCCTCCCAAGCCTCTGAGATTACAGGTGTGTGCCACTGTACCTGGCACAAGTACATATTTTAAATATGTCCATAAATGTATGTATAGCATGTGATAGAAAACATGTGTTTCTTCTTCTTCTTTCTTCATAACATGTTCAAAAGACACTGAAAAATATTCTCACTGATTAACTTTTGGAACATTATGTATTCTGCCCAAAAGTGGCTACAAACCAACATTTTAAAAAATTACTATTGGCACTGCAAGTATACTATTTATACTGTTTCATTCATCTTTTTTTTTTTTTTTTTTGGTACCAGGATTTGAACCCAGGGGCACTCAACCACTGAGCCTCATCCCCAGCCCTATTTTATATTTTATTTAGAGACAGGGTCTCACTGAGTTGCTCAGGGCCTTGCTAAGTTGCTGAGGCTGGCTTTGAACTCCCGATCCTCCTGCCTCAGCCTCCCGAGCTGTTGGCACTACAGGCGTGGGCCACTGCACTCGGGCTGTTTCATTCTTCTTTATCACAAATTTATGAGATAGGTGCCATTCTGATTTCAGTTGTATCTGGGAAAGAAGCTGAGGCTTAGAGCAATGAAGTACCCTCGCCAAGATCTTACACCTAGTCCTCAGTAAGAGTTTCACGATCTTCTTACTCCAAGARCCATTTTGTCTGTGTAGGTGACTGGTGGAAAAGGGAAGTTGGCTGGGGAGAGAACGTCTCAGTGCTGACATTCCAAGAAATACTCAAGGTTCATTTTTCTAAACCAATTATCCAAGTTAGTGGACATTTGATTTTCTGAGAGGACAAGTCATTGTCAAGTCATGTTAAAAAGAAGAAGGAATTTTAGGAGTAAATATTGAACCAGGCTCAGTGTCTCACGCCTGTCATCCCAGCAACTCGGAAGCCTGAGGCAGGAGGATGGTGAGTTCAAAGCCAGCCTCTGCAAAAGCAGAGGCCCTAAGCAACTCAGTGAGACCCTGTCTCTAAATAAAACACAAAATAGGGCTGCTTGCTTCATCTTGTGTGTGGATCAGGTCATCCCCTGGTGATAGTATCTGGTGTCCTCTTCCCTCTTGGAACTGAACTTTTTTTTGAGTTCAAAGCCAGCCTCTGCAAAAGTGAGGCCCTAAGCAACTCAGTGAGACCCTGTTTCTAAATAAAACACAAAATAGGGCTGGGGATGGGGCTCAGTGATCAAGTGGCCCTGAGTTCAATCCCAGTACCAAAACAAAAAAGTAAAGATTGAGAACTACCAATGGAAGTCACCTTATTTTTTCCACAAAAGCTTATTTGTGTTGTAATCATTACTGACATCTGGGCTGTATGTAACGCCTTCCAAGTCACAAAAGCCGATTTAAAAAAATATATTTTAAAAAAGTTTTCAGTTGTAGATGGGCACAATCCCCTTATTTTATATATTTATTATTATGTGGCATTGAGAACAACCCCAGTGCCTCCCCCATGCTAGGCAAGCACCCTGCCACTGAGCCACCTCTCAGCCCCGATGCTGCTGTTCGGTTTCCTTGCCAGTGACCAATATGGTGTGCCCTTCCTTCACCCCCTGAGATGGATCAGGAGCCCAGCAGTTTCCACTGGCCCTTCCAAAGATCGCTGCGGGACTCTGCCACTCTGGTTTCTCTCTTCCAGCTGCTTCTGCACCTCTTCTTTGAATTCAGATGCAGGCGGCTCAGAACAGAGGCTCAAAACAGGTGGAAGGCACTTTGAACTGTGGCACAATCCACAAGCACCATTAGAGGGACGGCTAGGCAGGTCATGGAAATCTCCGACACCAGGTAGCCCTCCTCTAGGGAGTGAAGGGAGATTGGGGGTGGGTGTGGTCCCTCTTGCCAGAGAGGACAAGGGCCACCTCCCAAGGCCAGTCATGCAGCTTCAGCCATGTGTCYTCCCACCCAGGAGCAGGGACACAAATGCAGATTCTTTAGAAACAAACGTATCTTGCAGGAAAATGGGATGGAACTAGAATCAGTGGCTTTCCTGCGTCTTCCAAGAGATTCAGACTAGAGCTCAGTGGGCGTGTCTCTGGTGATCTGTCTCCTGCTGGACTTGACCTTGCATGTTGATGCCTTCTTTATCTTATAGGATAATAYAGTATTTGCAATGGGGGAAATCTTAGCAGTCAGGTTTAATCCAATTCTCTAGTTGTAGACAGTGTAGGAAACTGAGGCTCCGCTGTGGGGTCCCTCTCTCATTTCCAGCAGTGATCCTACCTAGGGACCATGTGACAGAACTGTCTCTGGCCCAAGTCTTGGGACGGGTGCCCCTGAGTCCTCTGCTAAGCTTGGTGTCACCCTGGAGTTGCTGGATTCCGGGGATCTGAGCCGGGCAAGGCCTCTGGCCTAACCCAGATTACAGGTTGGTGGGACCAGGTCAGAAAAGGTTTAAGGGACTTGCTGGTGGCAGGGTTGAGAGTGATTTCCGTCTGCTTGTTTCCTCTGTACCCAGCGCTGCTTGTTGACATTTTATTTCTCGAAAGCGAAAGTGTCTCTTGGYCCAGTGGCTCCCTTTCCAGATCATCTTTGATATCATGGGTTATGTCTCTGTGTACCTTGGGCCACTTGAGCGTGACCGTATTTATTTGTCTTTGCATCCTGTTGRTAAGTTCCTTGGGTCCAGCATGAGGGGCGAGGGGTCAGTTTGCTATACCAGGCCCTTGTGACTGCAGTGTCCCTCCACAGTGGGTCTTTGTCAGGTCCAAGGAGCTTGCCAGCCTGCCCGCCCCAGGCTGAAGGGGACCAGTGACAGKCTGGTGGGAGCCCTGGGGAGAGGAGGTGGCTTTGGTAAGGCCCTTCCTGCTGTTGATTCACAGCTGGCCTCCAGGTGAAATCCCCAGTTCTGTCTCTGACCCTGAACTTTCCCCAGGTGGTTTAGGAGTTGTTCTAGTTAGTGACCCTCAGRGGCTCCCTGGTAGGTGTGGGAGAGGGAGGCGGCCCGAGGAAGGTCCCCCTGTTGRCTTGGGCTTGTGGGACAGTGTTTTCCTGTTACTAAAATTCCTCTTGCATCTTCCCATCTCAGCAAGGCCAGCTCTCTTTGTGTCTTGTGGGATTGCCCCTTGGCCTGCCAGTGCTGTTTCTAAGACAGCACTGGACAGTTATGTCCAAGAAGTTATGAATGATGCCCAGTACCAGGCTCCTTCTTTTTTATAATTTTTTATTTGTTCTTTTTAGCTATACATGGCAGTAGGGTGTATCTTGACCTATCCCACATACATGGACATAGCTTCCCATTCTTGTGGTTGGACATGATGTGGAGTGTCCCTGGTCGTGTGTCCATATATGAACACGGGAAAGTTCTGTCCCATTCACTCCACTGTCTTTCCTGTTCC